CCAATGGCAGCCACCCAGCACCAATCCCATCCTATTCCTACACGCACCCCGACACTTACTTCTTCAATCCCACGCTCTTCTCTTTTTTTATCCTCCTCCTATCCATGGCATTGGCACGTGCCATTCGCTGTAACTTTCGCTGTAACCTGCCTTCTCCCAAGCCACCGGCTCTCGCCCGACAATCGCCGCCGGAGAAGATCGTTTTGCAGCCTCGGTTATGCACCTTGAGATCCTTCGCCTCTGATCGGGCCGGACTGGTGAAGACGCCAAGGGAGGCTAACCAGGATAATACGTCGCCGTTCTTCGAAACCTTATCTGAGTATATCGAGAGCTCCAAGAAGAGTCAAGATATTGAGATAATCTCTGGTCGCCTCGCCATGGTACCTCTGTTTCATCTTCTTCTTTAAAATTCCTCTATAAAATCCGTGTGTGTGATTGATTAATAGATGGATATGTAATGGTGTGCAGATAGTGTTTGCGGTGACTGTGGCAACCGAGGTGGTGACGGGGAACTCGATATTCCGGAAGATGGATTTGGAAGGGATTACTGAAGCAGCAGGAGTAGGATTGGGAGCCATGATGATTGCTGCCATTTTTGCATGGTTGTCGAGCGCTCGAAGCAGGGTTAGTCGAATTTTCACTGTCGGTTGCAATACATTTATTGATTCGCTCATCGATCAGATAGTCGATGGGTTGTTCTACGAAAGTGATTGGTCCGATGACTTCTGAAGCACCATACATATATAATAATACATATATACATAAATATATATTAATTTCTATACAGAGGATATAATTTACACATGGGTATATGGAAGTTTCGTCTATCTTTCTCGTAGAACTAATTAGTAGAGGATTAGAGATTGAAGAATAACTTGTAGGGGGTGTTTCATAAGGGAAGGTTTGCAGGGGGTGTGAATATTGTAACTAATTAGAAAAATATTGAAATCCTTTTTCCTTAAATTCAATTTATCTTAAGAGGAAGATCATCGTTTGTGTTCATCCATGTTTGAGAGGAAGCTTTTCCAACTGGAAATTCATTCTTTTGAGTCTCCAGATTGTGACTATTAAATTAAATTTCTATTGTAGTTTATGGTAAGAATATTATACTGAAGATGGGATGATTTGATAATGTAAGTGAAAGAATGTACGCCTTGTAGTAGCATGTATCGGTGGATTATATTGAGAAGAACTCTCTTAGTTATGAATCATATTGAGAAAAACTACATGAAGTAGAAATTGATCTAGGGTTTCTCTAGAAAAGAAATTCTAAATTGTCACTTGATTTTTATTCTAGTTTTTCTCAATGTATTTCACATCTTATGGATGGATTTTGTAGGGAAAATTTAGTTTCTATCACCTCAGATTAAGGCTTGTGCTTGTTTGATCTAGTCAAACGAGAGATATTCATTTGTTTTGGGATAAAGGAAGATTGAGCTTTCTCTAATGGTATCTTAAAACAATCTAGAGGACATTCTTAAATTCTTGGAAAACCTTTTATTGAAAATTTTTTCCAAGAATCTTTTGGAGATTTTATGTGAATTCTTATATGAATTATTCAATTTACTAGCAAACGAGAACATGTTTCATGTCCCTTAGATCCGACATCAAGAACATTTTCTTCTTCGAAAACCAAATGTAACTTTGATAATTTAGTGGTTGACTTATAAATTTTATATTGTTCAAATCTTGGATACGGATAAATATTGTTGCAACATGTTGCTAAGTATTTGTTTTGTTCTTTTGATTTTATTGATTAATTATGATGAATTAATCATCTAAATGACTAGTTGAAAGTATTTTAATAACATCTTATTGCCTATTTAATAGTGAGGGTAAAGTTTCATATGCAATAATGATTTAAGTCATCAAATAATTATGAGAATATAATGATCTTTTAACATATTAATTTAATACAATTAAATTAATTTGCGATTTGTCAAATTAATTAATATAA